CTTGATAGTGAGCAGGTGAGTCACAGGTTTCTGATGTCGACATCCCCCAATAAAGTGGGAGACGAAGGATCTACTCAGTTCTGCGAAGGAGTGGATGGAGATGGGTTTGATCTTTGTGAACCATTGGCGAGCAGACTCCTTCAAGGTGGTAGGGAAGGCTCTACACATAATCTCCTTAGATACATTGTGGAGTTGCATGAGAGATTTATATGTGTCAAGATGGTCGATGGGGTCTTTGGTACCATCGAAAATCTCGATGGTAGGTATCTTGAACTTCGAGGGTAAAGGATAATTGACTATGTCTGCAACAAAAGGTGTATCAGTACGTCTTACCAAGTAATCCACCGTCTTGGGCGCCTGAGCTTTGATGGCGTTGAGGGCATCACCGAGTTGGTTTTACACCTCTCTAATCTTCTTGTCTCATTAATTGGGGACATCCTCAATTGGGTGGTGGTACTGGCTTCCATGATCGCCATATTAGCTCTCTCATTTGTCCTCCTACACAGGTATATGAGGAAGGGGAACATGTGAACTCCCTGCGCGGTGAGGAGGGACTATTAGGCGAGGGGCGCCCTGGTGTAGCCCTGGGGCGTTCTAGCGAGGGGCCCTATGGTGAAGGGCTGCCTAGCGCCTAGAAGGGATGGGTTACTACTCCTCTCCTATTAGAGGGAGTGAGGCTCCTCCTACAGGGTGAGAGGCGACACCTCACTAAGCAAGCATCAACTGAATGATCTGCTAATTTTGGTTCACAGTAGCTACATAGTCTATAAGAGCTACTGCCTGATGACAGGGGTCGCCGTAGCGGATGGTTTTGAGGGTGCGAGGGGAGGCGGGGCCTCCTCCTAGTGGGTTAGGTTGTTGTCTCCCGATTGTTGACTCATGGATCTTGTCATGATTACCATGGATTAAAGAAAGTAGAAAACCTAGTCGTTTCCCACATATGACGTCAAACTGATGATGCACAAATTGGTATTACGTAAGATCAACAATCGAGTATATATAAGAGTGTAATTAATGAGCAATAAATAAGATAATCAATGGCGAAACGGTAAATAAAAGCAAACACGCAAATTTATAGTAGTTCGTCTGGGTGACCTACTCCACTCTCGAGAAACGACAGCGGTGGTAGGGGGTGTTTATTGATGAATAAAGTCATCGGGAGAGTTAAAATGCTTTGGGAGAGAGAAACTTTATTTGTAGAGAAATGTAGAGATGTGATGTGGTGTGTAGAGGTCTCAAAGGTGATGCCCCTCCATGTGGAGAGGGCTTACATTATATAGGTTTGGTGAGACAATAGGCGGTGACGTGAGGGAGAGAGCACTTCTATTTTGGTAAGTACAATTAAGGTAGGATTGGATTTTCATGAGTGCATATTCCGACAGTTTCTCCCACGTGCTCTATCTCTTCGGGGTCTTGGGATCCTGAACTGGGTCGGACTGACAAAATGGGCCTGAGCCACCATTTAGTTGACATAGACCTTCTTGATTTATTAGGCCTTGCCCAGTTAATTTTGGGCTCATTGGAAATCATATGATAAGAGTTGCATGTTAAGCTAAATTGTAATGAGGTTTAACTGTTAATCATGGATTTATATCTCATTATTGAACTCTAAAATTTGTGGTCTTTTTAATATGTAGGGCTTAAAGCCCATGCTTTTTTGAATATACCGTTGAGCCGGCCATGCAGCCACACAATGTTTGTTTATTTTTTAGATTAATTGTTGCAATCTGGTGAAATTAGTGCGATTGGATGTGAAATTATTGTAAATTGGTGTGAATTTTTTGTTGAAACTTATTTAATTCTGAGGCGAACCATGGTTGGAACAAGTTAGATGGTGCTACACACTGTATTTTTGTTTTGCCTCAATGTGTTCATCATTTTCAATTTTCTAGAATGGTAGGCCATTCAATGATTAGTCGCTGCAAAATGTAGGGTTGTTGATTTGTTCTTGGGTTGGTTTTGTTAGTGTATTTTTGTGAATAGATGGTGGAATATGTATAGAAGTCTTGGCAGTGGAACAAGATAAGAGCAAGATATCCTATTTAGGGTAATTTTTTTTTCCTTTTACTTTTTGATTTTGCTAGAATTAAAGTGTTTTTCTTTTTCGTCTGAGGCAATTAAAGTGTTTTTCTTTTACGTTTGAGGCTTGCCAAACCCATTGAATTGATCCCTCTGTTGAAGACTCTCATCATAAATGCTTTTGAATTTGTTAAAGTTTTAATGCTTTCACTTCTTCCTCCAACTATTGTTGTTTTTTCGATTTTTACTTGGTATTCTATTGGAACTAGCCAGTTTTTTGAATTTTCGTATTTAGGTGTCGAAAAAGGAAGAATTCAAGTTTTCATGAAAATTTGTTTGAAAATCATAATATTGTTTGATTTGGTAAATGCAAATAAAATACCGATATATTTGGGCATCGAGGAGGGGTTTTAGGTTTTTAAAATTGGTGGTTGTGGCATAGAAGAAAGAAAGAATGAAAATTTTTTCCTCCAAAATTTCAGGAGTAATATATGTTACATTTTTTCTCCAAAATCTTGCAAAATTGTTGGCAGTAATGGTTGGCAAAACGAGGAAGGATTTTGGGGATATTAGTTTAACTGCTTAAATATGTGAATTTTCAGGGGAACAACACTGGTAAGTCGGGGTGGATAAGACAATGATCATTTTACATTCTCTCTCATTAATGCATAATTTTGGGTAATCCAGCAATGTGGTGTAATGGTAAAGTCTCGGAAGGATCCTATCCTAAAGATTAGGATTCTATTCAAATTTCTGTTGTTTCAGATTTATGTAATTATGCCAGCAAAAGGGGTAAGGCTAATATTCCTCGCCTAACTAGGATTTCAAATAGTTTTTGAATACAAATTTCACCAAACATAGTCATGGTTTGGTTTAAAAAAGTAATAATCTGGGACTCATGGGCGCGGATTTGGTAACTCCATTTTTAGATTTGTGTAATGTATTTGGTTTAATGCTTGGTATGCTGTTTGAGTGTGTTTTTTAGGCAGAAATTTAGAAGCATTACATTTGTTTTTGTTGAATATTAAGAATTGAAAATCTTAAATATGGATCTCTCTCTTTCTAGACTTTTTTTTTTGTGTATAGTGTATGCACCTAGCATTAGATTTTTTTTATTATGTAGTGTCTTTAGGTGTATTGATTGTCCAGTTCATTAGGCCTAAATTGGTGTATTGATTTTTCAGTGTTTATGATGTTGTCCTGTCTACTTGCTTAACTTAATGTCATGCAGCAGTTTTTTTTTTTTTTTTGGCATGCCCCCAGCCATATTATGAATGTCATGTAGTATGTTGTGGTTTTCCATAGTTTGCATGCATGCTTGCGTATTTAGATACTGTATAAGTTATGATAATGCTACACAGAGGATTAATTATAATACAAAAGAAAAAAAGTATTTAGCTAGAGGGTAACTAGATTTCGGGTAAACATTCTTTATGCTCTATAACTTTTCAACATGCAGCAACACTTAAATACTTTATTTCTTTTGTTGTCTTCGTGCACTTTATTATTTTTGTTTTCCATGCGTTGTTATCTCCAATATTTAATTAGCCCATTTTTTTTTTGCTTTTTCATCGTTGTTTTTCAGTCTTTCTAGTTGTTGTGTTGTTAAAGTCTCTTACCATAGTGAATGTTAAGTTCTTATATCAAGTTCAATTGAGTATTCAAAAAGTACGAGGCGAAGTTATAATTATAATTTTTAGTGTTTTTTAGGTAAGTTTTTAGTGTTTAATTTTTTTATTATATAGTGTCTTTAGGCATGTAAAATTACTAGTAAAATAATTGGTCTTATTTAATATATCCGCCTCAAGAAGACTCTAATGTTTTAGTATCAAAATTCAAATTATATAAGTCGTATGCCATTTTTATTATGTTTAAGTTTAATACGAAAAAAAGGCATCTAAAAGACAAAAATGACCTCACCTCTCTGTGTGTGCGTGCCTTGTGTCGAACATCTCACGAACGACCACCCACCTCCTCTTTCTGTCGACGGAGGTCACCCATTCAGTCCGTGGTGTGTTCGAACAAGACTGATAACGACAAAGGTCACTGGCTCACTCCAACCTTTAAAACGATTTGCGGGAAGAAGATACGGCTTTGGTTGGCAAATCGAAGGTATAGCCCATTGTTGCCTCTGTGTTCTGCCATGTGCAGTCATGGGCAATGTCTGGCTCGCCGCAATTAAGGCTGTGTAACGTTCTGGGTCTGTGTGGCTGCAGGTGAAGTTGCTACTTGCTAAGATAATTGATGAATGAAATTGGTTTAAACGTCTATCAATTCATGAAGTGTTCATTATAGTCACCTAGCAACCAAATCCCAAATCTTTGCCACCGAATCCAAGGTAAAACCAAAGTCCTTTGCATAATCCAAGGCCGACGAAATCTTTGACACCGAATCGTTGTCGTTTCGATTTCTTTTTCTGTTTTTGCATTTTTAATTCGTTTTCGTTGCAGTTGTCCGAAGTGTTTCCTTGTTTTTTTTTTTCATTTTCGTTTTCATTTCAATTTCGATTATGCTTTTCCTTTCTCGGTTTACAGTGATAAAAATTGGAATTGGATCTGGGAATAGAAAATTTGAGGATTGTTGAGGTTGAGCTAAATGTAATTGAGAGCGTGGCAGTGAAGTTGTGCAAATATGGCAGCACAGTGGTGGTGGCATTACTGTGTTCGCTACCATGTTGGCTCCCTTTGTTTGGTTTCATATTGGTTTAGGTGTCTGTATTGTGTCGTGGGGTTTGTTTGAGAAGGAGAGTCAGAAGTGCAATTACTATGGCTTGCTATGTGAATTAAGAATTCTGCCACATTATTTAGCTGCTATAAAGCAAACTCCTGTATTTTAGGTTTTGCTTGATGAAAATACTTTTCTGCTGCTCCTGCTCATGTTTATCCCTATTCTAATCAGTTTACATAATCACAGTTATTTTGAAGCTACTGTTTTTACATCAATATCCTTGAAGAAGAGGATTGAAATTTATTTGACAGTTGATGTGCACTTTTGCAGGTTTGCGTTTCCATATTGGATATATCTGGAGTACAAGTGAAGAATGATTACTAGATTACCAACTAGGTTATTGAATATATGTATAGCTTGTTTTTGTAAAGCTCAACAATTGGAGAAAGCGGAAGCCGTTATAATTGATGCAATAAGACTAGGAGTATTACCAGATGTGGTTACTTACAATACACTGGTTTCTACCTATTGTCGTCTTGTTGGCATTGATGCGGCCTATTCAATTCTTTATAGAATGAGAGAAGCTGGGATAAACCCAGATGTTATTACATATAATTCCTTGATAGCTGGTGCTGCCAAGCATTGCTCATTATCGAGATCTCTGGATCTGTTTGATGAAATGCTTCAAATGGGCATTCCTCCTGATGTCTGGAGTTACAATACTTTAATGCATTGCTTTTTTAAAGTAGGAAAGCCAGATGAGGCAAACAGGGTTTTCCGGGATATTATTTTGAGCAATCTTTCTCCCTGTGCGGCTACATATAACATTGTGATTAATGGACTTTGTAAAAATGGGTATACCGGTAATGCCTTCATGTTATTCAGGAATTTGCAACATCATGGATTTATTCCTCAATTAGTGACATACAATATTCTTATTAATGGGCTTTGCAAGTCGGGCAGGTTGGGGGCAGCAAGAAGGATTCTGAAAGAGCTTGGGGAATCAGGTAATGTGCCAAATGCCATTTCTTATACTACGGTGATGAAATGCTGCTTTAGATCTAGGAAGTTTGAACAAGGGCTTGAGATCTTCGCTGAGATGAAGAGCAAAGGATATACATTTGATGCCTTCACATACTGTACAGCTATTGGTGCTTTAGTTAAAATTGGTAGAATAAAGGAGGCAAATGAATGCATAGAGCAGATGGTTAAGAATGGCATAGAGCTTGATATAGTGTCTTATAACACACTGATTAATTTGTATTGTAAGGAAGGTAAGTTTGAAGATGCATATATGTTGCTGGATGAGATAGAAAAAGGTGGGTTAGAATGTGACAAATATACCCACACAATTCTAATTGATGGATTGTGCAAAGCGGGTAATATTGATGGGGCTTTGCAACATTTGAAGTGTATGGATAGATTGGATTCAAACTTGGTTGCTTATAATTGCTTTATTGATGGGCTGTGTAAATCTGGTCATATTGATTACGCAATGAGGGTTTTTGAATCAATGGAGGTGAAGGATTCTTTTACCTACACCTCCTTGGTGCACAATCTTTGCAAGGTAAGAAGATTCCACTCTGCATCTAAGCTCCTTCTATCTTGTATAAGAGGTGGCATGAAAATACTTAAGTCGACCCAACGGGCTGTTCTTCGTGGTCTTCGTTCTTCAGGATTTTCAAGACAAGCAAAGAGACTCAAGTCGAAAATTCGATTGGCTAAGATTTTGCATTGTTGATTTGGTTATGACGTTTTGACTACATAGAATTGGGAACAACTTTCTACTTTATTTAGCATAATTTGAAGGACCCTTCATAAATGAAGGTCAATAGATATGATCCACCTTCTTGTTGTACAGTTCAGTTGAGTTGGGGAATCCTTGTACAATGTTGCAGACTGATATTTTGGGACAGGGGTGGTGAAAGGCATTAAGGATGCACTAACATATTGAGGGGTGGAATTAGGGGACCCAGTGACCAGTATGCATGAAAGACTAAGCTCATCCTGTGGTGTGTCTTAGAATATCTGTCACATTGGGATGATCGGCGAGATTATGTGCAATAAATTTCAGCCACATCAGCTTATTTAGTAATGATTTGTGGAGTTCATCTAATATCTCAAGTAAACCTATCTTTCTTTCTCAAAAATTCTACTAGAACACAATTGTCATCTTGAATGTTTGAATATTTTTTCTTGTCTTAATTGTTGAAATATCTCATTTATTTTTGTTGTAATTGTTGAAATATCTCATTTACAAGTTTTCATACTCATTAGAAGTTATTTGAATAACTTGAACCAAGCAATGCCTTTGAGATGGAAAGATTTATTTATATAATGGTGTTTATCAGACAGTAATTTATTTATCCAGTTTTGTCAAATTCTCAAGGTGACTCATAAACTGATGGAGGGTTTGGCTCGTAGAAATACAATGAGTAGGGCAGACATTTGCATACATCTAGTGTGTAAGGCTATTAAATTTTCCATGCCTCAGTAACTTTGTGTGGAGTTTGATTGTTCAAGGAATACTGTTGGATTTCATTGAAATACCATGCCCGTCATGCTCTCTAGCCTGTAATTGATAGGTGTCCTATCAACTAGTGCTTCAAATATGATCAAAGTTAGCTATTAAATGTGGATGACAATATTAACTTGAAATTGGTGAGTATGATGTGCACTAGAAGAGGTATATGCTCTTTAAATTTCTAGTGAATTGGAAATTGATAGATTTTCCCATCAAATAATGCCTCAAATATGGTCATAGTAAGCTTTAAAATTTGAATGAATCGATGAATGGATATTTGCACTGAAAGAAGTATGGGTTGCAAAGGTGGGTTTTGAGAAATATTGACCCCATACAAAATTATTGAAGAGTGAAACGTTATCAGTCTTACAATAGGTGTAAACAGATGCCTCGCCATGCGTACATATATGTCCTTAACATCTCCTTGAAGAACAAGAAGATGAAGAGGGAATAATCTTTGGATAAGTTTGTGAAAATATATGGAGATATATGCATGGGAAGATATCATTGTTCCATTTTTTTAGCTTGCTATAAAGGTTTCCCCCTTTAAGTACAACCTATGCTAGGACAATCCATGTAGGGCTTTTCCAGGAGAGCTTTTCAGTTAACTTAGGAAAGTTTTCTATGGTACTTGTATGTTTGCTCTTCCTCTTTGAGAGAATTTGTTTGTTTCACTCTATTCTGTTTATGCCGTTTATGATTGTTGCTTTTAGATACAGGCTTGTTATGAAGATCACCTTAAGGGAAGGAAAAAAAGTCAACATACTTATTGAAGTGCTAATTGCTAGTTAATGACTTCCTCAAAGTACGTTAGAGTGTTGGAAAATCAAAGTTAATAATTGTTCCAAAATTTGTCATGTTGAGGGATCATACAACAATAACTTGCTAACATGCTGTGAAACAATTAATAATGTTCAAATTGGTCAGAGTGGTTTCATTCAGATCTTAAAAAAAATAATTGCTCATTTTTCTAACCTAATGACCAATTGGTATAAAGCAAAAGTGGACTCTACTGCAATTCATTAGTTCTTGCATCATTGACAAAGAACTGACCTGACCACGTGTCTTTGCATTATGTTAGAGTGGTGCATTAGCTTTAAGATCAATTGATTGTTTTTACTGCTGTTTTGCATTATTAATGGCTATAAACTGCTTTTATGACTCACCAATTATTGCTCTAAGCAATTGTTTGAAAATCTAGTAAGCTATCATTTGCTTTTTGTTTTTTCTAGTGGTTTTACAGGCAAATGCCAAGCAGAATTTTGATGAAATTCTTGAAGCACATGTAAAATTGACTTCTGAACTACGTCCAACTGATCTGGTGTGTGCCTTTTTCTTTTGTTGTTTTTCCACATTTGTCAAGCATCTTTCTGGCCATGCAACTAAAATATTGCTTGTAATCATTTTAATGCTCATACAATTGTTATACCTTTAAGTGATGTATGCAAATACTGAATTGGTTTGACCATGGTTTTACTTGAAGATGACTTGATATAGGCTGCAGAATAATTTTCAACTTATGTTGTAGCATCCTGGTGCCTTTCCATTGAAGGGCATCACAGTAGCACTCGGGGTGCCTTTCTGTGATTCAAAATTAGTTCATTATGATCTAACCGTTGGCAGTGAGCTCCTAACACTAACTTGTAAGCAGTAAAATTGCTGTGTCTTCATCTGGATCTTGTTTATTGTGAGGGCATTTGCACTTGGACTCTCGGGCTGTCCAGATGGACTGTTGCTACGAATTGTTTATTTAGTGTCTCTGTTTGATGATCATTGAGTAGTTCTAGTAACTATGTGTTCGTCTAACCATGCTTCACATGAGATTCTTGAGTAACTGTGTTTACGGACTGTAATTGAGCATAGATTTCCCAATGGTGCTAGTGAAACTTTATAATCTTCATTGAACTCGTTCATGAGAACTTCTCACTAGTGTTGTTGTTAAGATTGAAAGGATTGGCTCCTCTTTTATCTGTACCATATTTGTTTCTTCTTTTTCTTTTTCTTTGAAACAATGAAAGACATCTTATTCTTGTAACAAGGTAAAGAAATAATGTGAAGAGAATTCAGATAAGTAGATAAAAGAAGGTAGGTGGAAACAATAGAGAATTCAGATGTAGGGCTGAAAAAGAACAAAGCTGCAAGTCTTGGAAAAGCAAAAAAAAGCATGAACCATAAGAATTTTGAAAAATATTATGTGAATTGAATGTCCTCAATCTTAAAATTCTTTTTCGATCTCTTGAATGTAATGCATTGGAATCATTTATAAACTAGACAACTTAAACCACACAAAATTATCAAGAATTGTTGTCACGAAGAACCAATATCTCCTAGTTCTCTACATTGTAAGCTGTTCTTCTAGTTGAAACTTGAATAATTGTATGTTAGGGTTAAAGAAAAGAAAGAGAAGAAAAAGGGAGAAAGAAAGAGTATGAAATAATATTCTGTGTTAGGTGTATGTTACCAACACCCTATCACCTATTTACATTAAATTGATATTGAAGGCAATTACAATATTAATAAAGTAGAACAATAGGAAAGTAATACTCTAACACATAACTGGAAGTAGAACAATAGGAAAGTAACACTATAACAATTCCTCTCAAGCTAGAGTATAGAGATAAAAAATGCCCAGCTTAGAATAAAAATTTATAAGGGTCGAACATGCTAGTGGTTTTGGGAGAAAATCACCGAGTTGACCGCAATATCTCTACGCGGATAATAAGGATGATAAAATAAAGTTCTGGCTGCTCCAGACCATTCAGAGACTTCTTCGATTGGCACGCATTACCACGATATTGTCCTTGAATGACAAATCCAAGTGGTTGCTCCATGTGAAGTCTAAGACATTCCTTTGATGTTTTAGTGAAGCAATTTACCACTACTCCAAAACAAGTAATAAGTAAATGACGATCATGACAATACTGAAGAAAAAAACAGATGACGTCAAAAGACAAACACAATTGTTGAGTGAGTGTAGAAACGGTTGGATGGATGAAATAACAATTGTTTGTCTAGGGGTGGGAAGCTTACTTTGATCCAAGTGGTTTTGGGTAGTATTCCTATTTATTTTATGTCAATTTTCAAGATTCCCAAACAAGTGCCTAAACTTTTGGAGAACATGATGAGATTTTTTATATAAAGATGGTGGGTATGGAAAGAAAGATCATCTTGTTAGGTGGGACGTTGTGTCAGTCTAAAACAAAATGGGGGTTGACTATAGGCAACTTCACTATAAGGAATGCGACATTGTTGGGGAAGTGGCTTTGGATGTTTCTAGTAGAGTCTGATTCTTTATGACATTCTATTATCAAGAGTAAGTATGGAATCCATTCCAATGGATGTGACTCCAATGTGGTGTGTCAAGGCTCCTTTCGTAATCCTTGGAAATTTATTTCTCATGGTTTAGATGATTTTAAAAGACATGTTACTTTGAGGGTGGAGAGTGGGGGAAAGAGTTCGATTTTGGGAGGATATTTGGATTGGTGAGTTATCCTTAGCTTTATGGTTTCCTCCTCTGTCAAAGTCTCATACTACTTTAGTAGCTAGGATGTCTTGTATTTTTTTTTATTTTCATGGGGGATGGAATTTGAATTTCTTCCATAGTCTAAATAATTGGAAATCCTGGAGTATTTTGGTCTTCTTTCTTTGCTTGATTCGGTTTCTTTAGACTCTTCATGTAGTGATAGAAAACTTTGGTTTTTTGATTTGTCCGAAATGCTTACTTGTTGCCCTATTTTGAGTGGTTGATTGATGAACCTAATGATTTTATATTTGAACTTAATTCAATCAATTGGAAGGCAAGCGTTCCTGTTATAATTAAGATGCTTGCTTGGATGAAAGCTCGTGTAGAGTGAAAACTTGTGATTTGCTGTAGAAGAAAAGGTCAAACACTTATATGTCTTCTCATTTGTGTGTTCAATGCAAGAATAGCTATAAAAGTGTGGACCATTTATTCCTTCATTGTCCCACAATTCGGTTCTTATGGCGTAGATTGTTGGTGGAGGTTGGTTTGGTGTGGGTGTGAGATCCCGTGTTTCATTTTATATTAATTTGTTAGTATTTTTAAAATGATTAAAATGATGAGAGCAACTTTGGATCATTGTTGAAGGTATAGTCGTGTAAGTTTGAGTTATGAGCGTATTGACTTTAGGGTCAAATTTAATTTGAGGCATTTAAGATTGATAAGGGTAACTAAGTAAAATTATTAATTTTTTTTA